TGATTTTTTGGTTTTGGTCTGTTAGGGTATTTATCACTGAACTTTATGTATTTATATCAATATACATTGTGACTTGTGAGTAAGGGTTTAAGTTGTTTTTAGGTCTTGGAGTGAATGTAATGTAGGGTCTTCGGTTTTTATAAAAAATGTGAAAATTGCGTATGGTGGAGGCAGTGGTTTTCATTGGATTTCTTTTCACTTAATTCATAATTCAACTGGATGGCCAGTAGCGGCGGAACACCTTCAATTAAGGGGGGGGGGGCACCGCCGACTTTTGGTCCCATTCTTTCCATGCAACGCCCATAGGGCTAATGTTAAAAATCCAAAATCCGGTGCCCTCCCCATTCCGCCGCCTATGTGGATGGCCATGTTTACATAATTGATATTACAGGTTTAACGGTGTTGGTGTGTGCCAATTTGGAGAAATTGGCCTACCAATTCTTGAAATAGAAAACACTTCTTTACAAATAACATGTGTGTACGTGCATTAGCACCCTACATATGGTAACCTGTCATCCAATATGTGCCAGCCGACAATCCCAAGTTTCAGTACAATCGGCCCAGTAGCGGCTGAGTTTTTGCAAGAATAAATTTATTTTATTTACTGGCGAATCCCCTTGGTGAGCGGTGCCTGACGCTGGTGTTTGTTGTCAAAGTTCAATGACCTGCTGGCCCTGATGCTTTTCGCTCAGTTTTGCCAGCAAAGAAAATGGCCTAAAGCACCTACTCTCTACTTGTCGCTGGCAAGTGGCAGCGGTCTGACATGTAGCAGATATGCACGCGCTGACGGCGCACCCCTGGCCCGATCACCCTCAAGTTTTAATGCAGAGGTCACAACAACCCACAGATTCAGCATAGATTGAGTCATGAGCTGTTTCACTTCAATCGTTGTTCAACTTATGTTGAGCATTGTTGTCTGTCCATGACAAATGAAAGTTGGATGTTGATGTAAATAATAATGAAATGGATACAAATTGTAAATGCTTACAAAATGTTTTTAACATACCTCTAGATCAAGAAGACCTTGTCATATAACAACTAATAATGATAATGTGTATTAATTGCTTGAAACCAGTTTTTCTTTAGTTAATTGGAATGCTATTTATATCAGCATCTGTACCTATCTCACTGAATTTGGGAAGAACTATGTCAAATCAAAATGAGTTCTGTTTCATTAGCATGGGGATATTTTGCCTTTTGGATGAAGGGTTATTTTGTAAATAGTTTTAATCACAAGCTGTTTATTTTTTAATATAATTGACACTGTGTCACAGCTTGGCAAATAGTTTTTTTATTTGATGATGTGTCTCCATTTAGTATCAGTTTAATTAAATATGAAACTTTTAGATTATAAGTGAAGCAGTGGACACTGCATTCAAATAGTACCTACCTAAGGTGGCATTACATACAACTTAATGCATCCATCACCTAGGAAGGTGCATATGCATCTAGAATTTGACCATATCTAGGTGGATTTAAATATATCATATTATCCTATGCTTGTAACGGGCCTTTGGGTGGGATTACCTAGTGATTTAAAGTGCTAATGACAAGCAATCCCAAATGATAATACTACTGCCTACTTAAGCACTCATCCATTAATTTGGATTTTGCTGGGAGACAATGGCTGGAAGGCTGGGGGCTTGGAGCTTAAAATGTGTTTTGCCATACTACCCACATCAAATGCTCTTTTGCTTTACTTTCATACACAATTTGGTCACAAATAACCCTGAGTTCATCAATTACCACCCTGTCATTGACTGCTCAGGCACAGTCAGATTACATTTTGTGGTGTTCTCACATCTATTCTGTAAATAATCATGAATAACTGGTTCTGTTGGCAGCTGAACCAGCCTTTATCTTGTCTGCACATCACATCTGAGCTCAGCATCCCCAAAGCGCCCCCAGCATGTACGGACTGGAGGACCCAGCGCTGGCGCTGACCTTTCTGGGCACCGCTCTGGTGGGAGTCTGTACCGGCCTCATCTGCAGCCGACTGAAGCTACTCTACATCTGGACCCACCCGCCGGACCGTAACAGCACGCGCACCGGCGGTGACCTGGTGGCCGAGGTGCTGGCCAGTCACGGTGTGAAGCACATCTTTACCTTAGTCGGCGGTCACATCTCACCCATCCTCGTGGCCGCCGAGAGGCTCGGAGTGCGGGTGGTGGACACGCGTCACGAGGCGACGGCCGTGTTCGCGGCGGACGCCGTGTCACGTCTGTCGGGAACTGTCGGTGTGGCGGCCGTCACGGCGGGGCCGGGCGTCACGAACACCGTCACGGCCGTGAAGAACGCTCAGCTGGCCGAGTCGCCGCTGTTACTGCTTGGAGGGGCGTCGGCGTCACTGCTGAGTGGCCGCGGAGCGCTGCAGGATATCGATCACATGACACTGCTCGCCTCTGTCTGCAAGCATCGCGTCTCGGTGCGCTGTGTGCGGGACATCGCGCCGGCTCTGAGGTATGCGATACAAATCGCACAGAGTGACACTCCCGGACCAGTGTTTGTCGAGCTCCCCATCGACGTGCTGTACCCGATCCATCTGGTTCAGCGCGAGGTGGGTGTCAAGACGGGCGGCGGGCCGGTACAGCGTGTTATCAACTGGTATCTGCAGAACTACGTGGATAACATCTTCGCTGGCGCATGGGAACCTCGCCCTCTGACACCTCTGCCACCTGCAATCCCCCTACCGAACGACTCCGAGGTGCGGCGTGCGGCCGAGCTGCTCCGCGCCGCCCGCCGGCCGCTGCTGCTGCTGGGGAGCAGTGCCACCTCTCCACCGATCCCCGCTGCCGACACGCGCCGTCACGTGGAGGCCCTCGGGGTGCCCTGTTATCTGGCCGGTATGTCACGTGGCCTGCTGGGTCGTCGCTCTCCGCTGCAGCTGCGGCAGGAGCGACGTGCCGCGCTGCAGGAGGCAGATCTCATCATCCTGGCCGGCGCCGTGTGCGACTTCCGTCTCTCCTACGGCCGAGCACTCGGCCGCCGCGCCAAGATTGTCTCAATCCATCGCGACCCTCGCCAGGTACGCCTCAACGCCGATATGTTCTGGAAGCCGATTCTGGCAGTCCAGGCGGACGTGGGCTCATTCATCCGTGAGCTATCCGCCGAAATGGCTGGTCAAGTGCCCGACAAGACATGGCTGGACAAACTCCGCGCTCGCGATGACGCCAAGGAAGAGAAAAACGCCGAGATGGCGCGTCAGCCGACCGCCGAGCACCTGAACCCGCTGAAGGTGCTGAGCCGGCTGGAGGAACTGCTTCCCCTGGAGGCGCTACTAGTGGTGGACGGTGGAGATTTCGTGGCCAGCGCTGCGTACGTGCTGCGACCGCGCGGCCCGCTCGCCTGGCTGGACCCCGGAGCGTTTGGCACGCTCGGCGTTGGTGGAGGGTTTGCGCTGGGTGCGAAGTTGGCTCGGCCTGAGGCCGAGGTTTGGTTAATCTACGGGGACGGCTCGTGTGGGTACAGCGTTGCAGAGTATGACACGTTCACCCGACACAAGACTCCCGTGATAGCGCTGGTCGGGAACGACGCCGGCTGGACGCAGATCGCCCGGGAACAGGTGAGAACCGGCAAGGACTGGTTGATAAATTAATTCAGAAACATTTGGTGTGTAAGAGCATAAGCGAATACAGTTGTAGACTCCCCATACATTGCCGAGAATGTATAAATTTCAGCGACCATTGGCTGATATGGGTCTATAAATATTTTTATACGCAGTGTTTTAGATAAACTTGGTAGCTCACATATTCTGCGAGTATTTTTCATTGGGAAATGTATATTGGTAAGTTCGTTCCTTGCGTTTCGCCTTCTTTGCTGCTTGTTGCTTGTTGCTACTTGCTCGTGATTTGCATCTGCTCTCAATTTTTATATAACTGAACCGCGGTAGTCATCTCCAACCGGCGCTTCCACCAGTCCCCTCGTCACCGTCTCCCTCACCGTCTAACCATCCGCTGATGTTCCCCCAGGTGCCCATGTTCGGCACGGACGTGGCCTGCCGGCTGGCCCACTGCCGTTACGACACCATCGCCGAGGGGTACGGCGGTCGGGGCCTGATGCTCACCAGAGAGCACGAGGACGCCATCGACGAGGTGCTCCGGCGCGCCCAGGCGCTCGCCAAGGAGGGCCACAGCGTGCTGGTGAACGCCCTCATCGGCAGCACCAAGTTCAGGGAAGGCAGCATCTCGGTCTGAGGTCTTGAAGGTGGACGACGTCAGACGAGAGGTAGTGGAAGCTCATGTGGTGTGCTGAGCTCCTTTAGAGGGGTTGGTGCAGATCGGGAGCGGTGGCGATTTTGGAATTTATGCGCGAGGGTAATGCTATGCGCGTGGATGGATTTAATCTTTGTAATGTAGCGCTGATTGTTAATTGTTATCGTGCCGTAGCTTTTGGGGCAATGTTTTATGTATAGCTACGTTTTGATTAGACGTGCCAGTCATACTATATGTGCTAATGCGGCACGAATCGGTGCTTAGATAACCAGTGCCCTAAAACACGGTTAGCTTGCAAATCGGCTTACCGAAATCAGGTTGTGACAAGCAATATTACTGCTGAAATTTGTTGACGAGTTTATAATTTCACGCGGGGCCATTTACGTCGGAGAAAGGGGGCTAGCATGCAGTTACTTAACTTGGGTAGGCGTTCTGTTCCAGCATCCAGGCCGAAGTATCAGCACGCACGCAACCATAACGTGACCTGTACACTATTTTGTGGCTGGTTCAGTGGTTCAATCACTAAGTAATAGATGATCTCCAAACAGTACGTACGACCATCCTCACCGACATTGGGTCTGTTCCAGTCGCACTTCCTAACACCTCTAAACTCCTCCAAGATTGCTTCCCTGTTCCAGTGGCAGCTCTAGCCCCTATACAAAGCCAAGGAGGGCCCTGCTCCAACCTCCTCTATCTTACTTTTGGAGGAGTTTAGAGGTGTTAAGAAGTGCGACTGGAACAGACCAAATGCATCCACGGAAATCGAGCACACAACTAAAAACAGTTTGATTCACTTCACGCTATATTCCTCAGATATAACTCATTCCGTAATAGGTGCACGTCCTGTCTTGCATACAGACTGGATTTCGCGGCGAATCAGACAGAGCGCGGCAGCGGGGTTGGGCGCCGGACCCGCCCCGGTTCCCCCAAACATACCAGTGGGGCGCGACAGTGAAACAGTCTCCACAGTGGGGACAGCCCCCTACAGGGTTATCGCGGGTCCTCTGGCTCGGGATTAACACACGTCTCTTTACCCCAGCACCGGCGCAGCCTGGCGCCAGTCACAATGTTGTCCAGGAGTGAGGTTTAAACGGACGGCGCCGCACCAGCCAGTGATGAGCGTCCCGGGCGGGCCCAGCCCGACAGAATAGCGCGAGAAGCGAGCCGGCAGAAGCAGGGTACCGGCAGTAACCAATCAAACAACACGCAATACAGGTGAACTCGAGACGATGAGAGTGAACGGCGGGCTGCTCGCTATGTACAGGCCGCCCCCTATGTACAGGCCGCACGGCACGGCACGGGGCGGCGATGAGGCGCACACACACACTCGCACACCGACGGACAGCTAGGGAGCGCACGGGCAGGCAGGCGCGCGCGCCGAGAAGGGGCGTTGTACTGGGCGGTGGTGTGTAGCTGAGATCGGACTCAGGCGAACAGGCTGTCCGTGTAGCGCCGGTTGGCTTTGGGCGCCCGGCGGCGGCCGGCGGCCGGCGCGCGCCGCGGCGCCTGCTGCCCCAGGCTGTCCGCCTGTGAATGACAACAGCAGACCGTGTCAGTAGACATTAAGTGCTGGCCAAAACGCACCCAACTCCACAACGCAAGGCTGCACTCAGCTGATTCCTGACGAGTAACATTAACGTTAGTGGCAACTTGGTGATGGGTCAGACTCAAGCAATGATGATACGCAATGATAGCAATGCTACTTTCAAGTAAATTATAACATCGTGAATTCTTTCACAATCATCAGGTGACGGCCGCTAACGTCACAAAAAAACTGTTATCCTAGTGTCTAAATCAACTTTCCCTCACCAGTTTGTTGGCGATCCTCTTGGGCAGCTGCTCGTGCAGACCGAAGACGCGGTTGCGCGGCAGGCTGAGGCGGCAGCCGTCGTCGAACACCACCTGGCACTGGACGTGCGTCTTCTCGCCGCAGAATACGCCCGGCCACAGCCGGTCGTCCGTCCAGTGTACGTGCACGCGCGCGTTCAGTGGCGGCGCGCCGTCCGACGTGCAGTTGTAGTTCTGACGATGGGGAAAGGAGGGAGGTTAGTCGAGGTGGGATTAAAAAGGACACCCCAGTGACAAAGCCAAGTGAAATATAGATGATGTAATAAGGCGCATGGATTCCACTTAAAAAAGAAAACCAAAACATCCATACAAAACACCGATAGCAATGTACAAGCATGCACAGACAAAAAGGACAAAATCCAAGCACAAAAAAGGTTATCCTATTGACATGCGTACCGTTAATATCAACTGCTGAAACAGAGATGAAGCAGCTAATGGATGAGGATCAGCCGGTAAATTTTCACAAAGGGTTAAGACATATTCACAACAATACGAACTTTTCTCTTGCCTACTTGAACGGTGTTGAAATCAGACTGGTTTTTGATTCACCTTTTTTGGATCGATTCAATCATAATTGATTCATTTGATTTTTGTTTGATTCAATCACCGTTTGATTCCTTCCAAAAATTTGGTGAATCAATTCCTTTTGATTCAGAGAATCAAAAAACAATAAAAGGAATGATTCACGTTTGATTCAGCCATTTTTTTAACGATTCTTTTTTTGATTCAATTAAAAAATAAAATATACAAAATATCAGGGATAGTATTGTATTTGTTGTGTTCTTTTTGTTGTCATGTAATGGCAGTAGTATTAATATTTGTTGATAATGAACTATGTTCGTTCACTTCAATTTTTTTTTAAGTTCATGAATCATTAATTTTTTTGATTCAATCAACCCTGATTCCCAATGCGTTTGATTCAAGCATGGCTTGTGAATCAAACAATCCTGACGGTGAATCAAACCTTTTTGATTCAGCAAATTTTGTTTGATTCAATCCAATCGATTCAATCACAGATGAATCAAACACCAGTCTGGTTGAAATCGAATAAAACAAATATAATTATTTGGCAGCACAGCTATAAAGTAATGCGAAACGTTCACAATAATTAATGAAACATCGGAGTATTACGATGTCAGGTGACTCACGTGCTTCTGACCGGCATAAAACAAACCCCGAATCAGTGAGCTCAGCATGGTCAGAATAATACACTGAAATATCCATTTAGAGACAAAATACGACAGTGACCTAGAATATGACATCACCATGATCGGATATAATCGGATAATAATCGAATAAAAAATCAGATTGAACAAGAGGCCAGTTTTACCAACAACCCCCGCCCTTCCCTTCCCCCCTCGCGTCCGTCACTCACGGCGATGTGCTGTGGCGACGTGTCCCGGCTGACGGAGCCGTCCTCGAACCGGATCGTGTACATGATCTCCGAGCTGAGCTGGGCGAGCAGCGCGCGGTGGTAGAGGCCGCTGCGGTGGCGCGCCCACACCACCTCGCCCACCGTCAGGCCCGACTCCTGGGTAGAACAGGGAGGCAGGTCAGGTCAGCCAGGGATACATGGGGGCGATGTGGGGTTCTTAGCGAACGCGTCAAGTCACACAAAGGAGCAATGAACACACCCCCCCCCTAAATTTGTCTGAACAGCTATTGTCCACCACAACTAGGTACTCGGGGGCAGATTGATGTTCCACCACTCCCTACCCATCGGGTTCCCATGGCTCAGCACTGGCTGCTGCCAGTGTTGCCAGCACTGGCTGCTGCCAGTGTTGCCTGCCCTCAGCACTGCTCAGCACTGCTTGCCAGTGCTAGTGCTGCTAGTGCTGCCACTGGCAGCAGCCAGTGCTGAGCCATGGGAGCCCGATGGGTAGGGAGTGGTGGAACATCAATCTACCCCCGAGTGTACGTACATACATAATTCATCATCAACTACGTATATAATCCAACTGAATCAATGGAAAGTAAAGCTAATATACACACTTACTACAGCCTACAGGAAAACCGTGCATGAGAAAACATCCCAACCTAATTGGTCAGAGTCGTGACACCACATTGCCACTCAACACTGAACTACACTCTAATTCCAACAGCTGGCATACCTGACACCGAAGAACAGACCACTTATAGCTTGCCTACAGCTGCAGCCACCACATAGACACCATGCTCTCACCCTACCCATAAGTTACAGCCCAGTGTACGGCGTGCGGACGGCCGGGCCCAGCCCTGTCTCGCGGGTGGCCCGGCCGCCCCAGCCGGATATACTGTTCCAATGTGAAAGGAGAGCGTCGAACAGGCGTCGGCCGGCGCTCAGGGTGCATTGGCTGCCCTCAGCGGCGGGGGCGGGGCCGGAGGCGGCTCACCTGCGGTCCGGCGTGCTCTCGACAGGTGACCAGGGGCGCCAGGCCGGCCGGCTGAGGACAGAATCGTCCGCCGGCCGCCTGACAGCAGGTGACGTGCATCAGCGCGTCACACTCGGGCTGGCTGCAGCGGACGCCGACACCGCGCCACTGGCCGCAGTAGTCGCAACGCTGCGGGGGTACAGTGGGATACAAACGGTCAGGGGCGCACGAACAGACACATAGGTTTATCAGATTGGAGGGACGAGACTAGCAAGCAGGATGTCCCTATCAAAGCAGGTATGAACCAGCGAATACATATTTACCCGTTTGTCTCTTACGATGCATCGACAGACATTCGGCAAAAAGGAAAACAACTCCAGAAAACTAGGTGATGGGCGAATTACGTTTATGAAACATCATTAAAGGCTGTAAGGCATATGTTGCCGCCTCTTTGTAAACTTGTCGCCTCTTTGCCAACCGTCACCCACCCTGTGTCTATCGAAGGGCGCCGTGGCTGTCCTCTCGCCCGGCCCGGTGACCACCACCGCCGGCAGGAGGGCGGCACACACCAGGTGGACCGCCCGACCGTCCGCACCGAGCGTCAGGGCGCCGCCGCGCAGACAGCAGAGCGCGCAGCTGGACGGAGCGGCGCGGCCGGCCTGGGGAGGGGGAGGGGGTCAGAGTTGAAGAACTGATCGCACACGAAAAAGGTTTCGCAACAAGAGGGTTAACTGTGCGTCACACACGCGTCAGTGTGGCTACTGGCTAACCCGTGAGTGAGATAGTCAATGCAGGTGAGATTAGCTGACCACTGCAAACTAGAAGAAGTATGTACAAACATAATTAACATCATTACATTTAAACTAGCATTAAAGCTGTGACAGAATAAACCGGCAGAATATTTTTTTTCGCTCCCTGCCCCAAGAATCAAATCGCTATCCTGCCACAGGCCGACCCATGCTGTCGCCGACCGCTTCCCTCACCTGCTGCTGCACCTGAGCGCACGGTGAGCACGTCCAGCCGTGCTCGGCCGGCACGTCCGGCAGGCCGTAGCAGCGGGCGTGCACGCAGGCCTGGCACACTCGGCACACCAGCAGCGGAGCCACGTCTGAGGGAGATACGAGCGACTGGTCAACACATAATATTCTGAACACTAGACCAATATCTCTAAAAGAGGGATTCAAAACAGGTTTCCAGCCTGCAATGTACACTGAAAAGTGACATGTATACAAAAGGCTTTAAAAAAGCAAACCTTTAAAATTAAGATAAATAACAAGAAAAACAAACGCCGCATTCAAAGACAGAAAAAGAGGCAAGTTATGAGTAAAACAAAAAAAAAGCAAACATTAGTACATATTTAGTACCTGTGGGGACAGTGTTGGAGCCGGCCGGCCGGCGGTGTCTGGTCCAGACGGGTCCGGCGGCGGGCGGCTCCGCGCCGGCGGGGGCGGGGGCGGGGGCGGGGGCGGCCGGCGGCGCCCACAGCTGACAGACGGCGCAGTGAGGCGGTACGCGGCTCCGCTGCCGGTTGTGGGCCCGCACGAGGTCTGAGCGGTCGCCCGGATCCTTCAGCGGCGTCCACAGACCGGTCAGAGGAGCTGCCCAGTCGGCGGACGGCGGCAGCCACGGCTCTGGATCCTCCTCCAACTGATGGGAGACAAGACCGTCAGAACACAATAGCATTTGTGAGAACACAATGGTCCTGCTAAAAATTTGTTCTCACAGATACCGGGGTATAACTCAACACAACGCGGCGAACAACACATAGAACAGACGCTTACCAAGAAAACGTTCCATACGCTCTAACGTCAAACTAAGACTGAATACAAGCTCAACCTGAAACACAATGAAGTTCCGTGATTGGATATGCAGTGCCATATAGATTGAATCCAGGAATGAGGAGATCGTCGTCTACTCATGCACTGACAACTCACCTCGCTGTCTGAGTCTGTGGCAGTGTCATCTCCGTCGGACTCCGAGTCGACGGACGTGTGCCTCTGCTCCTCCACCGTGTCATGGGCAGGCTCCGTCTTTACCGGTGGAACGTTGTCGTTCACAACCGGCACAAGAGCCGAGGATGGCGGCGGGGGCGGGGGTGGCGGCGGCGGACTAGCGTTCTCCAGCTGCATCATGGCCTGGTGAATGAGCTCCAGGCCGGGCGCCTCGGCCGGCGACGGGAGAACCACCGGCGGCGGGTCTGCCCGCGGCACCTGTACTGGAACCGGCGGTAGCACCGGCGGCAGGGGCGGCGGCGGCGGCGGCGGGGGCGCCTCAGCGCGGCCCGGGCTGCTGCTGCTGCTGCTGAAGTCCGCCGCCAGACATGTGCCGGGCGGCCTGCCACTGCTGCTGCTGCTGCCAGAACTGCTGCGCGGCGGACAGCTGTCGCCAGAGGTCGAGCAGTGCTGCCGTAGTTGCGACAGAAGACTCCTGAGCAGGCGCGCCTTGTCCGGGGACAGGATTACCGGCTGCCGCGGCTGGCGGCTCGGCGGGGGTGTCCTGGGCCCGCTGGCCGCCGCCGGAGTCGGTGGGCAGGGGGAGACGCTCGGCAGGACCGCCGGGCGGCAGGCCGGGACGCCGGTCGGTGTCTGCGGCGGCCCATGGGTTGATGCTGGCGTCTGAGCCGGCCCCTGGGACACCGCCGCCGGCGCCGCCATCCACGCGTCCCTGATCAGTCCGGTAGGCAGCGGAGGACGCGTCACTGCCGCTGCTGTCGTGCCGAGAGCCCCAGCGGCTCTGCCGATCGTCACCACGCCACGCGCCGTCCGGCCGACCGCGACCGTGCCGCTGCCAGCCGGGCCCGGGGGCCTGGTCACCGCGCGGACCGGGCCCCCAGCCGCCGGCGCGGTGGCGATTGTGCAGATGATGGCCGTCGGGTCCCGGCCGCCAGCCGGGCCCGCCGCCGCGGTGGGCGGGCGGCACAGGCTGCTGTCCGCGGCCGTACGCAGGCGCACCGACAGCGTCTCCCTGAGGCGGCCAATTTGTACCGTGGTGGTGAGCGTCGGGTCGGGGCCGGTGCCGCCAGTGGTCACCGTCCGGACCGGCGGCGCCGTGACCTCTGGGCGGCCCTCCGCGGCCGCGGGGCCCGGCGGCGCGACCAGCCGGATCTCTGTGATCGGCGCCGGCCCAGTGCTGACTGTCGGACTGACCACTGTCCCAGCGAGTTCTGGCGGGCCGCCCGCCGCCCCATTGTTCTCCGTCGCGCTGACCGCTGTCCCAGCGAGTTCTGTGTGGACGCTCGCCACCCCGCGGCTCTGGATGTCCGTTGCCGTAAGGCTGGCCGGCGGGGGCTCGGGATTGGGCTGGAGCGCGGGGATGGCCGTCTCGTTGGTCGCCATGCCAGCGCTGATGGTCCCGTCGCTCATCACGCCAAGGCCGACCGTCTCCGCGTTCGCCGCCCCAGTGCTGAGCATCAGGTCGGTCGGCAGTCCAAGGTTTAGACTCTCGGCGCCGATCAGGCCAGGCATGTCCATCAGCGCGGGCGTCACCCCACGATCGCTCAAGCTCGCGGGATGGACCGTCTCCTCTGTCTCGATCCCAGAGTTTTCCGTTCTCCCACGGGCGTTGATCTGCCCATCCGGTGGCGGCTGGGGCGGACTGTGCAGCGGGAGGGTACTGCTGCTGCTGGTGGTGTTGGAGGAGCTGCTGGTGTTGTTGCTGCTGCTGCTGCTGAAGCCCTCCGCGGAAGAGGGCGGCGGCGTCACCGAGCCGCTGGCCGCCACCGTCTGTTTGAGGAGGCGCAGCAGGCCGCGCCGGGTCGGCTCCGGCAGCGGCTCGTCCAGCAGTCTGGTGAGCCGGCGGCGGCGCGCCGCGCGGTCCCAGCGGCAGCCCACCAGGTGGCGCAGCCAGTGCAGCAGGCCGGCCGGCAGGCGGCGCCGGACCGGCGCAGGGGGAGCGGTGGTCGCCGACGTCGCGGCGCGCACTGGGAGGCCCCCCGGATCCCTCCCAGTGCCCACCGCTAAAAAAGACGGCTGCTGCGAGGCGGCCGTGGCAGTGGCGATAGCGGTCGGGTCGGGCGGCGGCGGTGGCAGCGGCGCTGGCCGCGAGTCGCTGGGCCACGTGCCGTGAGAGCCGTTTAGCTGAGAGGTCGAAGGCGCAGTGCTGCCATCCGTTGACGATCGCCTCTCGGGCGACGACGGCTGACGCGACTTCTTCGGAATCTTGAACTTCTTTTCCAACACAGCACCCGAGGAGCCAGCCTCCTCTCTCATTGCCTTCAGAATATTCTGAATCACTGCCTCCTCTTTCAGCCGAGACTCCTCCAGCGCAGCCGCTGTCTTCGGGTCTTTGGATTCCTTCTTGAACGACTTCCTGCGTACCGGCACACCGGAGCTGTCAGCGAGCGCAGCGGACGGACGAGAGCTCACCCCAGACGGGCCCGGCGCCGCCAGAGCCAGCCTCGTCCGCTCCTCTTCTTTGGCCTTTATCTCAGCCACTGCCTCAGCCGCGGCAGCAGCCGCCGCTGCTGCCTTCTCCTCCGCCTTCTTCTCTTCTTCCTTCTTCACCTCCTCCAATCGACGCTGCTCATCTTCTGCCAGCGTCTTAGCCTCAGCCTCTCGCGCCGCCTCGCGCTGTTCATCGCTCACATCTAACAGCTTGGGCAGCTCCTGGGCGGCCTCTGCCAGCGCTTTCTGCAGCTCAGCAGCCACTGTCGGGTCCGGGGCACGCCGGCGGTGTCTCACGGCCGCCATTAGCCGCCGGCGCAGCGCCGCGCCGTCGCCGGTCGGCTCAAAGGTGATCCTCCGACTGCCGTGCACCAGGTGACGCTTGCGGTGGCGCTGGTGCGGCTCGTCACAGCTGCCGCCGGTGATCGAATCCAGACGCTCCAGCTCCACTACAGGCTCCGCCTGCAGCTGCGGCGAGCCGTCAGCGGCCGTGAACGAGAGGCGGTGACGCTTGTGGCGCGGACGGCGCTCCTCCTCGTCGTCATCGTCATCAGAGTCGCCGTCATCGCCGTCTGAAACGGAGCCGGGAGATCATTCAGTGCGCTAGTGACAATATGGGAAAATGTAGCAACGGGAGGACGCGGTCAGTCATGATAGCTTAGAAGCTAGGCAGCATTAGGTAAGACAAGCATTAACTACAACATACATAACAGGCGATATGATCACGGTAAGTAACAGAAATACATGAATAACAATCAGGATAAAACATGACGGTTTTCACAACCAAGCTGTCTGAGATATCAACGTCTACCATGCAATGTCATGTATCAGGACCTATCAGGGCGCACTCAGGGTCTAGTTCTTGTGACTACCACAATCGATGGTATCCATCCCACTTCACCCGCCCCACTCACCCGAGTCTTCCTCACGCTCGTAGAGGTCGCCGAGCGCCAGTAGCTGCTGGTCGCCCTCCAGACGGTCGGAGCCCTTCCGTTTGTGGATCGGGTGACGTTTGTGGCGCTTCTGCTGCGAGTCGATCAGCGCAGTCACCTTGGCCATCTCCTCAGTGCTGCCAGGGGAGCGGTACATAGATTAGCGAGGCATCAACTACTACGGTCTGACTGATCACGTCTCGTCATATGAAACTCTTAATAAGAATTGTCTTTAGTTAACTAAAAGGCAAAGACGATTACGTCAAGTCAGAGCCCCGAGGTCACCGTAACATAATCGTTTTTGCCTTTGCATGACAGTATTCATCCAATACCACTTGTGATGAACAGCACAGGTGCAAACCAGTAACCACCAACACCAAGTCATTCTCCCCTTCACAGCCTGCCCTCGCAACATCCCATCAAACAAACACACCTCTTGTTGCAGACCACATCGGCGTGCGTGGGCCTGTTGGCGGGCGTGTTGCGGCTGGGGTCCTCCGGGTGCGGGCCCACGTCCTTTCCGGCCAGCCAGAGCTCATACCGCTCCGGCTGGAACCGGCGTACGAAAGTGTCCATGCTGATACGCACCATGTCGTCCCTGGCGGATAAAAAACGAACGCCGGTCAGTAGTGCGGGGTAATGTGTAACAGATATGGCCGAATTTTACGTGAGTGCAATCACGGGAGCCTCGCTCTGCACAAAGTACGCGATATGATTATCTCGGGAGCCCTGCGAGCCGGCAGTGAAAAAGCTCGTCTAAAAAATATCGTGTTCACATAACTTACCTGTTAGCTATGAACTATTAATAAGTGAATACGTTTAAGTGAATACGAAGACTGCTATCAGTTGTACGGAATCTGATATGTGAAATATGATCAGCATTATTTTTCCGACATTACAAACGCAGGTCCCCACTAGTCACTACCACCTTAGGTCCACAACAAATATCGTAACGGCACTCACTTGCAGTGGCAGAGGGTCGCCCGCTTGCCGTACTCGACCCAGCGCGGCGAGGCGAAGTTGGTCGACTCGGCGCAGTTGAAGCCGTGGTTGAAGCCCGAGTGGTAGCCGTAGGGGAACGTGATCATGATCTCACCCTCCTCCTGGGTGATCTGCGGAACAGGCAAAACAAACATCAGACAAAGGAATTATGGACACAAAATGGCAGGAAGAAGTGGACAGAGACAGACTGATGGCCGAACACAGTCACAACTCACGTCAAAATTTGACATCACATCACCAATAAATCAACCGTGTGGCACTTTGGTACCACTTTGGCTAGCTTGCCACTTACCCTGTTGAATGGTATGGAGTACTTTTTGAGGATCTGCGGGCTGAGCAGGAACATCTTGTGCCGCAGGAAGGCCTGGCACTGTTTGGCCTCGGACGGGAAGAAGTTGACGGCCAGCCGCTCCAGTCGCCGGCCGTGCTCCGGTGGTATGGCGTACCTGGGGAGCGGGGACGGGTGGTCAGAATACACGGGGAGCGTCAGAGAAGCCAGGGGAGCGGTTACGATACAACATTACTCAATACCCACTACATCCGACTCGAGATTACAGCGCTGCTCGATGGATCAGGAAACAAAGAATAAATGATTATGAAGAAACGTCGTGTAGTTTACTTGTGAGTTGGGCTGGACGGATAATTTCCTTACCAGGACTTGGGCGCCCCGTAGTGGAGGTAGTTGATGCTGTACAGGTCCATGTCCTCCGTGTGCCAGGCGAACGTGGTCTTCCACATGCCGAAGTAGAGGTAGGCAGTGTTGACGCCGGCAATGCTGATACCGTAGTCTTCCTCCACGTAATCCAGCACGGTTCTCAGCTTGTTGATGTTCCACACCTGTTGGCAGCGATGACGGATTTTTGAAAACACCATCAGTCCATCAGCTGATAGGGAAACAGTGACTCAGACCACTAAGTCAGTTCACTAGATTTTTTTTCTTTTTGCATGTCACTCATGTCATAAATTTTGGACTAAAATAAAAAATTTTGATCTACGATAACTAAGTCGCATTGCATCCCAGACCCACAACTTTCGACTATTCAGACTGGTAATCAGCGTTCTAGCCCTACCTCCCCTTCACACCACTTATCCACAATACAATTCATCCCCCTACACCACACCACACCACTCACATCACAGTCGGGATCGGTGAGCGAGCCGCACACGTCAGCGCCGTAGATGGGCGACACGTAGGTGATGTTCTTCCAGTAGCGGCGCTCCAGGTCCTCCAGACCGTCGTGCGGCGGCGTCTGGTAGGTGGCGCTGTTGGCCATGCGGTAGAAGTCGCGTACCGTCATGGCGTTCTTCTGCACGTTGATCTGGGTGTAAGAGCCGAGCCGGCCCGTCACCACCTGTAGACAAATGACGCAAGGTTAAACGGCAGTCCCATCGGACATATACCTACATTACATACTACACAGGGTCAATAGGTGGCACTCGGGCAGTGGACATCGCGGAGAGATGACAAGCTAGACGGCGGCTACTACCATAGATTCGTGGTTAGTATCATTATCGATCCCGGTGGAGAAACGCCTGGTCAGTCCGAGTGAGTGTGTGTGCGTGGGAGAGTGGGGAGGGGAAGGCGATGGCACAGCGAAGAGATACCTGGTCAGACGTCGAACACACCGAACCGTAACGAAGCTGCTGCGTTATTTATAACAGGCGAAACGGGGACTGAGACAAACGTCCTTGCTAGCTTTTTGTATTTCAATAAATGGTCTCTTTGCATGCTTCGCGCCCGTGCGTGGCCTTACCTGGCAGATGGGATTCTTGATCACCATGTCACCTATATCTTCCACCTTGAAGCCATTTCTTCTGGGAACCCATTCCTTTGGAGGAATGATCTGGAGACACAGGAAAAAAAACTTATCAAGAAAGAAAGTCTCAAAACAATATGGCAATATGCAGAATGATGACTCGATTAGCGAGTAAGTCAATTAGTTCGAGTCAACGACTGATATGAAACACCAATAATCAGACGGCAAACCTCTAGTGGTTGAGCAAATAAGTGGGTTTATTAAAAAACTGTCACAAAAGTGGAAAATTTGAATATAAATTCCCTTTTCTTTGACAGAAAAATATTGGGAAAATGTGACTTGGCGAAATCAAGAAACAGACCTTTGCGACGCCAGCCTTGTGGGCGCCCTGCGACTCAATGTACTCAATGTACTTTGCGAAGTCCTTGAATTCCTCGTAGGTTGGTCGAAAGACCATAATCTGAGGAACCCCTCCTTTGCTCGTCATTGCTGCTGTCAGTTGATGCCTGAAACAAAGTGAAAATTGCGTTACCACTTACCACCCAGGAGAAGCAATCCTAGACCCATTCGCAGTCAGTTCTATTTTCAACGAAACGAACGAACAGCTGGTAGCATCGGTACCGGTTTTAATAAGACATTACATAGATCTAAGAAACAATCCACTACATATCACTAAATCACAGAGAGCAAATGGAAGACAGCCCCAGAGTCATCTACTATGAGAACTGCGTGTGCCAACCGCCAGTCATGCCTCACTGACAACAACTGGTTGGCCACTGGGGTCGGGATATACTAGACTTGACAATAGAGACGGCGGCAAATCTCGCTCGTTAAGTATCAAATGCTCATTCAGGCACTTCAACCAGCCAATTCTTTAATTTCGTCTATTGGAATAAAGTGACTCAACCCTAGAACGCCTAGGGGGGGGGGGGTTGTATCAACCCCCCCCCCCCTGAGGTTTTTTCGAAGTGCACGCTAAACGGCTTGTCGTAGCGGGCTGAAATTTTCAATACCCTCTGGGGCAACCTTTGCGCATCTTTTGCCGAAAAAAAATTGGTCGGGTCATGTCAGGTCACGGAGTTATGACGTCATAAGAGGTACAGCCTCCGGCCGGATTTGCACAAACTGAGTGCCAACGCCCGAGGTTTCCTGCCGGTGGTACGGACATCGGTTGATGGATCGTGATGAAACTTCCCATGCATGTTGGGGCAAGTATTGGCTATCATATGGTATAAGAAATTTGACCGGGTCAGGTCAGGTCACGGAGCTATGACGTCACAAGAGGAACAGCGTCCGGTACTATTTTTGAAAAGCGCCCGAACCACTATTTTGCTAATTCTTGTCACCTCAATGGGAATATGCAGCAATATTAGCTTCTATAGGGAGCAAATGGACCTCCCAAATCCAAAAATACAGATTTCAAAAACTTAAATTTTGATTTTTCGAATTTCTGCCGCCGACTGTGACCTTGCCGACTTCCGGCGCTCCCAACGCGCCATTTTTAGAGCTAGGGAAACGAAATACATACCAAACGATAGAGAATTGATCAAAGAACACGATAGTGAAGGTTTCAAGTCGATATCTCCCACCGTTTTGCCGCAATCGCCGCCGAAAGTTGAAAAAAGTATATTTTTCCGAAAATTTGACCTTTGACCGGTCAAAAGTAGGTCAAATGTTGACCTAGGACCAAAAAATATACCACCAATCGCGAGATTTCGTTGAGAGCAATCCGTTGGTTTTTTCCGCTAAGCTCTACGACCTTCCGCTTCGAAACGCCAGGGGGGTCGTAACAACCCCCCCCCCCCTGGTCGTTCGTGTTATGAGAAATGGCCTGGTCGTGCGAGGGTTAAGCTAATGGGGAACGCATAAACCGCTATAAATGAAAACATTTCACAAAGTTTGAACGGTGTTTATTCATACCAGTTTATGCGTCAACTTGTCAATCACAGTACCGCTCAAAATACGAATCGCGTACTCAATACTGCCCAGACGTAGAATGGAAAATATTGATTTAATCACAAAACGAATTAGACTACACGACGAAAGTTCGTCCATCTCATTTTTTTCATAAGTTCATTTTAAGCTTAAGGTAGGTAGGTAGCCCGAATGATCTTACGAAGAATTTATCTAATTTACAGCACACCCATGCGTTACGGCTAATATAGTAGCTTTTTCCATAAATATCAATCTCGAAGGATGAATGGATGAATGGATGAATGAATGAATGAATGAATGAATGAATGAATGAATGAATGAATGAATGAATGAATGAATGAATGAATGAGTGCTTTCAGTGCGGATGCCCGCTAAGCCGAGCTTGCCACACCGAACCACGGACCCACCATCCGACCATTTCACCAGTCCCCGCTTTGTCGATATGAGAGTGTTAAGCGTGTGCGTAGCAGTGGTTCCAGTATCGCAAGAGATTGCAGCAGCCAGCAATGCCATCTTGGGTCTGGTGAGACTCTCTCGCCCGTTGCCAGCTGGCCAACATAGCTAAGCGCGTGCGGAACGGATTCGTTTTTTCATAAATATTTTCGTTTCATTGCCAACGAATACGAAGATTGGTGCCTTCCTCCTATGTAGGCCTGTAGGATGTTACATTTAAGCGTTGAAGTTTGTTCCACGGTCACCTCAATCATTGACCTCGAAAAAAAAAAATAGATGGAGAAGTTACTGTAGAGCTAGACCATGTTAGGCCAACAGATATCTAACGATGACAGAGAAGACGGGACTTACGAAAGACGATCATGAAACTTTGAGATCAATCATGCATCCGAAGGGCAATAGTGACAACAAAACAGCAACAACCGCGAGAAAAAGAAAATCCTGAAAATGAAGTGATCGCAGTGAAGCCTGTACTAAAGGGTGTGATCTGTTTACACTTGCGGGCTGGCATTCGCCGATTCGTCACTGCCACCATTTGATAATGTGTGCTTTAATCTGAGATTCATTTTTAATGGCATTATGGGGCGGCACGTACCACCGCTTAACTCAGAGTTTTATATGTTTGGTAAGCTTCTCATCAAGCTTGTGTAACTAAGAAATGCCATTTTGACATTGTCAGTGCTTTCAACGAATCATTAGTATACCAATTTCTAGTGGTTTCGTCGAATCATAGACTACTACATATCGATATGTAGTAGTCTATGGTCGAATATATCTATGAGAAATCTGACCCCCCATACGGTTCCAGTCTCTGACTATTGATCCTTTGAATTTTGCATAATCTGAAAACTAAGAACTCTTCGAAAGAAGTGAAGGCGCTTCTGGCTTGTAAACTGCATTGAATGAGCTAAATGCCACGAAAACGTCTTTCCAAAAAGGGTTTTTCGTGTCATCAGCAACCGTTTTAAGCATTTTAGTTCCATCTTATTGAATATCTTCAATATTTGGTAACTTGAGCTTAAAACACCGGTTCCATGCCGCATTTGAGGTGTTTTGTCTCTTAAGCCGCGTTTGTTTCGTGCTGTTCATAGATGCATTCATATCAACCGTGCAGAGTCCACCATTCTCGTAATTTTGTATTACTTTGCTCCTTTTATGGGATCCCGTGTCCCTCGGAGAAATGAGAAATTGCAGCTGCACCATAAGGCATGCATCCTGGAACATGTTTTAGCTCAAATCTTTGTAATTTGTAGCCATATGAGTAAATTTGTAAAACATTTGTATGGAGTCAAAATAAGGTTACAGTGTTTACGTTAGGAAAGGTTTAAATCGCCCATGTGCACCCTAGACTCAAAAATGTAAACTACACCATATCGTCACAAACCATAAAGCAAAAAAAAACTAGAAAAATTGGGTATTTATTAACCCGCGCCCAGATGGGGTCTGCCGAGCAACGCGGTCTGATGGGGGGGGGGGGGCATTTTGGCCCCCCCCCCTCAGATCTCGAGAACCACGCAACATAGCGACAAGCGGTAAACGGTGTTGGATAGCCCCAACGGGGAACTACCTTGTGACCCAATTTCATTGACCTCGGTCAAACCGATGACGTCACAGGTCAGGTCAAAGGTCGAATTTTCACCGTTTACAGGCATTTCAAGAAATGCGTTGTAAAATCGTGTAAAATGCATTTCATTGAAAATCATCGATGGGGAAATGTTCTTCAAACACATATTTTGCTATTTGAGGTCACTGATACCAGGTCAGGTCACAGAGGTCAGGTCACTGGGGGGTCACAATATGAAAGTGTCGTGTGATACATGTTTTATGGTCCATTTTACATGACAAATGCGATTATGTGGGTCAGACAGACTTTAGGGCCAGCTTAGGTCACGTTTTGGTCAAGGTCAGGTCAAGGTCAGGTCAAGGTCAGGTCAAATTAGGTCATATTTCAAAGTTGATATTTTTGCATAAAATGGGTATCGATTCGATGCAGCTCGTCACGGAGAGTTCAATGGTGGTCTCCGTTTTGCGCTACGAGGTCTAGAATTGCTAAAAATTGAGTTCAAAAATTTGACGTCATCAATTTTTAACAGTTTTTTCGCTATAACTTGGCCAAAAAAAGAGGTATCGATCTAAAATTTGGTATGTATATCGAAGAGCGCAGGGACTATCACATATATTCCGGTTTTTTTTTCGAAATTCGAAAAAATTTTGGAAATTTTTTGAGTTTTTCTAAAAAAATCAATTTTTTTGATTTTTGGGGGTCAAAATCCAAAAATTTCGGAAATCCGAGATAGCAGTTTTGTAGCGCCGCCTTTTCTCTACACAACCACATAAAGAACTTTAAAATTGCTTGTTAACTGTAGAATTGGTGAGCGTTTCAAGATGTCATGTTTTTTGCTCATTTTTACTCGAACATGACCTCAGTTTGACCTCAATAACTCCTGACCTGAGGTGACCTGTGACTTGAAATTTTGTGTGAAGGTGTCAAATTGATGTCCGGTAAGGAACCCAAAATTTGGCGGCGCTGCGCGCCGCCGTTTTCTCGCTATTTAAGAAAAACCACAGGGGGGCCAAAATGGCCCCCCCCATCAGGGCGCGGGTTAACAAAAGGTCCGATCGTCGATCATATGTGCCAAAAATCCTATGTGCTACGAATGTGCAATGGCAGAAATTGTGGGTTATAGGTTGTACAGGGTCCGGCAAAAGTTCTATCCTCTACCTATGACAACACTTCCCGGTCCCTAACCGTCTCTACCCCCAATGGATAGCGGTTCTGACTGCACCCCTGCATTGCACGGTCCTTGGCAGCGGGATATGAGGTCGCGAGCGGAACTCGGGTGACCGGGTCACGGATCACCGAGCTACGGCTAGTTTCGCACTGAATGTCCACCCGAAAGGCCGCGTCGAAAAATGAAGGTCTGAAATTTCGATCTTGGGGAGCTAAACCAGACAGTCGGCATTTTCCAGGCCGAACTCTGACATAGCATGCCAATGCTATTCAATTAAGACATCTGCTGCACAATTCGGCATTGGTGAGACAAGCATACGGCTGCTGGCAGCGTTGCTGATCGTTCCAGTTTGGGCCTTCATCCACCATTTCGACCGTGAAAGAAAT